AGCACCACCACCAGCACCAGCAGCACCAGCACCAGCAGCAGCAGCAGCAGCAGCAGCAGCAGCACCAGCACCACCAGCACCACCAGCACCAGCAGCAGCAGCAGCAGCAGCAGCAGCAGCAGGAGGAACAGCAGCAGTAGTAGTAGGAGTAGAAGGAGAAGTAGGACCAGGAGTAGAAGAGCAGTCGCAGTTGTCGTGGTCCGTAGTCGTGGTAGCAGTAGCGATGCCCTTAAAGTATTGCCAGACCCAGTACAACAAAAATTCCAAAAGGAGTCGTTTCTATGCAACCAAAAGAACACCGAGTGCATGTTGCTCACAGTCTGTGGATCCTGTTCAAAGATGGCTGCGGATTACAACATAACTGCTCCAGGTTTCTTTGGCTTAGATGAAGTGGCTGAGATTCTCGAGTCGCCATTTGGGAATGACCCCAATGACCTCGACCTGCGTGAATATTGTGACGTTTCTCAGCATGCAAGGTTTTGGTGTTTGTGGCTTCGGGGCTTACCATGGTTTCAGTCGTAGGGTGACTTTGTTTGCTGGCTAAGGGGCATGAGGTCAGCAGTGTCATGGCTGGTTTGTCTTGCAGGTATTGTAGAAGTCGAAAACTTACCAGGCGCAGCACCTTATTGTAGCTATGGGCTACTATAGCCCTGAACCTTTAGTCTAATTACTTGCGCCCCTATATTAGGGGGGGGACTGTGGTTTCGCTGTTGAGTCGCCAGCAGGCTCTGATGTCGGACATGGAACTCATATGCCAGTGTCGGGAGTTGAAGCTGGACTTCGTTCTGAAAGAGAACGAAAAGGTAGACTTCTCGCATCTGCTGGCGAACTTTGACAAGCAGAAGCAGTTTCATCAGCACTTCAAACGACTCCTCAGTCTCAACTCAGCATCCTAATCCATGGAAAGGCGCATGATATAACTTGCGGCAAGCTTCAGGAAATGCTGAACCAAGAACCCTAGTTTGTTTGGAGAGGTGTTTAGGGTTTACAAGGCTTCAGGAGCTTAGGCTTCAAGATTTGATTTGGGGCTACAGGGCATGGTTCGGGCTTGCAGTCTAGGATCTTGCGTCACTGCTGGATGATACTCTTTTTGTTGGTGTGAATGCCTGCAACACCTCACTTGCCTCTACTCGAAACCCCTGTTCGAACAGAATGAGGCACCTAGACCCTAAACCTTAAGCCCCTAAACCCCTAAACCCTAAGCCCCTAAACCCCTAAACCCTAAGCCCTAAACTCCCCTGACAGAATGAGGGGGGGGGGGAGTTCAGGGCTGACGTTCTGGCACTGTGGGTCGAAGGCCCAAATCCGATAGTCTGGGGCTTCGAGTTGGGGGTGTAGGGTTTAGGGTTTGCAGGGTTTAGGGTTTTGGGTTTGCAGGGTTTAGGGTTTGGGGTTTAGGGTTTAGTGTTTGATATTTTACCTCTTTGCCACCACTAACCGAATCTCCGGATGTTCCATGGTCGGGTTACCATGCTCCGACTAACCCTTAATCCCAACGCCCTAAACTACGGACAACAACAGCGGGTCCGCCCTTCCAAATCAGTCTAAGCCCTAAACCCTAAAGCCGAAACCCTTTAGCCCTGAACCCTAAAGCCTGA